TATGTATATTTATATGTCAACAATACTATATATATAATTTAAAAATTTTAAATTATTTATCCGATTCAGTAATTGACCCGGTGACTCAAAGACCTGCCCAGGTCGACTCTCGGGCCGGTTTTCAAAACTATGGCATATAGATATTTCTAATGTGGAATTTATAATTCATTATATCACCACACCATCAAATAACTATTTTGTTTATATATTATTTTAATTTTTAAATATTATTCTAATAAAAATGGTATATTCAATGGGCATTTACTTTTTTTTTTTAATGGTTAAGTAGACTACATTTTAGCAACTCTTATCATTTTAAATTATTTATTATGTTAATATGATTCAAACATAATTATTATAATTATTTTATTATATATTTTAAATGTTTCTGAAATGTGAACATAACTCATATCTACAATAATGAGATGATAATTAATCAAATTAATTTCCATAATTATAATGACTACGTTTTTAAATTGTGTGAATAAAAATACTATGAATTAATTTTATATTCTTATTGAAAATATATGTATTCAATCAATTATTCTTGTCGTTGGAAAAAAAAAATCAGTTATTCTATTTATATCACTCTATAACTAATGAATATTAGGAGTAAAGAAAAAAAAAATCAATATATAAAATTTACCAATAAATAAAGCTTAATTATATGTTAAATAAGGATGATTTTTTCTCTCACTTCCAAGTAAATTATGGTAATATAGATTGGTTCATTATATAGATATAAATTTTTATTAACCTATGTCTCATTTTAGTGATTACCAAATGTGTAGTGATTACCAAATGTCAATTATGGTACACCAACAACAACAACATAGCATTTTAGTCCCAAGCAAGTTGGGGTAGACTAGAGATGAAACCCAAAAGAATCAATGATAAGAGAAACACAAAAAAGGCTCAAAACAAAAGGAAGAGATTGGAGCAAAAGTCACGGTTCTAGCACGTTGATTGTTAGCCTCCATACGCTCTTATCCACCGCTAAATCTTTAGAGATATTCAATTATGGTACTTTGTATAATTTATATTTTATCCAATTTTGTTAAGATATATAGTTAGCATTTTTATTTTCTCACAAATTAAATAATTGTTTATGTGTGTGTTTGTCTAATGCCTAATTTGTGTGTGTATAAATATTTACGTGGAAGCTATAATTATTTATTTATCCAACCATCAATACAAAAAATTTTATTAATACATTATAAAATAAAGTAACTTATGGTGCTTATCGAACATACTTTTAAAGTGTGCTTATGCTAAATGGAAAATGCTACAATCCCGTTACGGAATCATTCCGTTAGATTTGTAACCGTTAGATAAACTATCATTAACGGTTACTTGATGATCTAACGGTTACAAATCCCAACGGAATGGTACCGTAACGGGATTGTAGCCTTATGCTAAATTATAACGTGATTAAATAAGTGTTGTCATTTTCATGTAGGTTCAACTAATTGACTACTCGCGTAGATAGCATAAGCAAGAATAATGTGATTAAATCAATGTGATCCAGTTCATGTAGGTCCAATTTATCGACGACCAGTAGAAATTTGGCTCATTTAATTGGAAAGGAAAAATATCTTTCAAAGTAAATAAAAATAATAATAAATTAGGAGAAAAAAGCAAAAAAAATCATGCTAAAATGTGTGGCTATGATTACAACTGACAATCGTGTGATATAATTCAAAAGTCGGTGCGCAACACACACCATGCATTTAAATACTTTGGTTGGGTTTGGTGGAAGTCCCCATTTATATACTTTAAACATTAATTTGTTAATATAATTAATTGTGTACAAATATGCAACATATATAGGAATAGCTAAAAAATAAATAAATAAATAAATAAAAATAAAAATGGTTGCATTTCCTTATTAATTTGTCTATCGTGTAAGTAACTACCCATATTGATGGGACATCAGCCAAACCTTTAGATTCTAGCCTGATTTTATTATTTTTGTGCTAACTACTAAGTGAGTTTGATTTAAGTGAAGAACTTCAATTATAAAAACATACCTAGCTAATACCACTTACTGTGAGTATGAACATTATAATACAGGGTTAGAAGCAAGAATATTAATAATATTTTGTAAATTGTAGATTAAATAATTTTTTAAGTTAGCATATTAATACACAATTTATTAAATATTTTTGCAATTTTATATTTTGCGCTTGTACCGGACTTTATTTAGCTGGCCTGGCATGGATTCTATACACATATACATAAAATTTCATTGTAAAAAAAAAAATTGTAAAATTACCATCCTTTTTAAAATTGCATACTCAAACAAAAATTTGCTAAATTCTCTTTATATATAATATTCGAATGTCTTGAGTCTAACTGACATGCTTGCACGTTTCAGGATTCTATGTAGCAAAATTTCATGCTTCGTTATTTCATGCAATATTGTGCTTTAATATCATTTCTTGCTCTAGATGTGGTTTATATGACATGGATTTTTTCCTCAATCTTTCTCTTTTCCCCAATATTTTTTTAATTATAATGTATTTTTCTAGTGTATAAAATTAATCATCTGTTGATTAACTTAATTATGACATCCATAGTATATATATAAAATAAACAAATAATTATATATACCTTTACATATAAAAATAAATTATCTATTAATTTTAACTGAAAAAAAAATAAAATTGTTTATCAATTAAATAAACTTAACTACAAAGTAGTTATGTGATATAAGTTAAGAAATTATAGTATAAGATGAGCAAGCGGTACATAAGTATAAGAAATTATAGTTAAGAAAACTATTCATATATTTTTGAGAAAAGTATTTAAATTTTAAAATACTTTTGTTTATTTTTTAAAATTTAAGTATAAATTTCTTAAGAAACATTCATGTAATACACTGATATTGTACTAATTTGTATATAAATACACATAATTTTTAATAATATTTGGCAATTCGATAGTTCAATTTTTCTAAAGAAATCTACTTCTTTTTGAGGATTGATCGAGCCAGGATAATTTGAACTACGAAAATTTCTTTTACTATTTTTTAAATCTTAAAATATACGACGTCATATGGATTAGACTTTGAAACTTGAAGCATCTCAAGAAAAGCATTTCATTACATGCATATCCTTAAAAGCTGCACGATGACAAAGTCAAAATATGTGATGTTTTTTCTGTTAGCCATTTTTGATCGGGTCTGGAAATACCAAAACTTAGGTATATAATATTTCTCGTCATGTGTGCCACTTGGAGATATTACAGTTTCTTTTTTCTTATTTAAGATTTTCTTTTATCTCTTTGAATGGTACATTCACAAGGTATAAATGTTGTGTTATAACTTATTATAGTTTCATAGTTGATTCTATTCAAGTTGGATGAGCAAACAATGTAAGATTTGTCAGATATGGTTTGTTGATAGTTTGCTGTTATTTCCAATTTTCCATCCCGAGTAAATTATCATACGATTTTTTTATAGTATTGAAAAACAGTTAATTTTATTTACATAAGAAAAGTAATTTTTTTTAAATAAAACTGCATATTTATCTATGAAATACACACTTTTATTTATTTTATTATGTAGAGTTATGATATTACAATTTAAAAGTATATATATATGCATTAAAAAAATATACTTATTGATATATATATTCTAGCTATGACGTCTGCCTAACAGTTTGGAACTAATTAGTATATCACTTAAACTCTTCAAATTCGAGGTAATAACCTTTTAAGAAACCACTTACTACATTAAGTCCCTACAAAGACACAAAATAAAATAAAATAAATTCTCAATGTCTTTCGTACATTTTGTGCCATCAATACATTTTGAATAAGATAGATTATACGACCAACTCAACTATTTTATAATGTTTAAGGCTGCGTTTCTACTACTTCTGTAATATTGTGATTTCATTGTTACGACTTACGAGCCAACTTATATTATATATAGGACCTGATTCGTTAACGGGTCATTATGTTATATATAGGATCTGATTGGATGTTAGTGGATAAGTGTAAAATTAACATATTGAACTTTATTTAGAGGTTTGATATAACTAACTTATTTGGTAATGAACATATTTGATTAATTTTTTTAACTCAACGTTCATTATATAAAAGCTCAATATATGAGCGTTTCGAAAATAGAGTATTTTATAGGGTAACATGTCAACAAAAAATTTCTACAATAACTATACAATTCACTAATTACCAAACAATTATTTATAATTAGCTAATACAATTCTCTAGTTTGTACCA